CTCTGTGTAGCCCTGGCTGTCCTGGAACTCACTCTGTAGACCAGGCTTGCCTCGAACTCAGAAATCTGCCTGCCTCTGCCTCCCAAGTGCTTGGATTAAAGACATGAGCCAGCATTGCCCGGCTGAAGATACAATTTCTATCACCCGTGAACTTTTCCCAAATTAATCCAGAGAGCATCCAATCCTTCCATACAGACTTCAGGTGACAGCTGATGTGTGGGTCCTCTGTGAGAACAGCAAGTGCTCTTAACCACTGGGCTACCTCTCACTCCCCACTAGATTATTCTATAACTTGCCAATTATGACAGAACTATAGACGCTGCAAACAGACCTCCAGTCAGTCTCCAACCCAAGTATTAATTATCTCACGGGCTGGAAGAGATGGCTCAGCAGTTAAGAGCACTGACTGCTCTTCCAGAGGTCCAGAGTTCAATTCCCAGCAACCACATGTTGGCTCACAACCATCTGTAATGGGATCTGATGCCCTCTTCTGGTGTGTCTGAAGACAGCTACAGAATATTCATATACATAAAATAAATCTTAAAAAAAAAAAAGAATTACTTCACTTGGGTTTGTGAGACGGCTAAATGGCTCAGTTGTTGATCACCTCACTGGAGGGCTTGTGAGACAGCTCAGTGGTGAGTATATACTGCTCTTCCAAGTGTGGGTTCCAACACACCACACCTAATCTACATAAAACAAAATCTTTTTTTTTTTTTTAAAAACAAATTATCTCGCCAGAGCCTTTAATTTGCAAAACTTTATTTGTGGACAGTTGGGCAAAGATCACACAGGATCTAATCCTGCTCTCAGCGAAACTATGATTTTTTTATTAACAAGGCCAGGCATCCTGTGTTATTTTTACACTTTTACAACTGAACATTCAGTTTTTAATACTAAATGTCAAACACATCTGAATTACATCTTTCCCACAGTGCTTCATGATATTTAAATAAAGACTTCTAAATTCAATGCATGAAACTGACAGTGACATTTGTAATTATTTCAGGGGTACTGGGAGTGGGCTCTCATCGTTTTCTTGAAAGGAACTTGGCACAAAAGGCAGCAGAGAGGTCTCTGTATGGGGTGTCTGAGTCAGACTTGCTGGGTGGTATCCGGCACAACTGGCGGAATGCAGGGGAGCGCAGCAGCAGGTTCTGTGAGAGGCCCATGAGGCTGGAGCACAGCCAGTAGAGAACAAGCGCCTGGAGAGAACACATAACGGTCAGCACCTGTTCCTGGATGGCCAAGGTTTGCAGTCAGTAAAAAAACACCAGCATTCTGACCAAGCTACCTGACAGCATGAGGACTCCACCAAGCACGAAAGCTTGAGCACACCAAGAGCAGACTGGTGACAGAGAGCAGGAAAGCACCCTTCGTTGACTACTAAGACTTTTTCCCAGCACAGGTACTGACAAGCTGATTCTGCAAGAGAATGGTAGGAGCCTGGGGGCGTGGCTACTTCCCTTGGCAATCGTACTGGACCTTACTTTCCCCATTACTCATTGGTCTCCCATGATTCCCCAGCAACTCTCTGTCATCAGGATGCATTTCTTTAGTTCTTAGAGACAGAATTATCAACTTTCTTTTGTGATACAACCCAGGCTGGCACTTCAGACCAAGCCCTGAAGCCTTTCTATACACACATGTGTTTCCTACACATACATGGGTTTCGAGCTTTGCTTGAGCATCAGAAAGCAGTCTTGTCTCAGAAGTAAAATTATGTGGCTGGTGAGCCCTGTCTGGATGAAGCTCTCCAAGTCTGAGAGTCCTGTTCTCTAACCTTTGGTTTGTATTGGTCATTTCTCTTTCTTCAGTTTCCTACCTATAAAATGGGACAGCAACTGCTCCCACCTTAGAGGACTGTTCTGAGAACATTAGCACACAATGGCAAGCACCACCCACACCACCCACACCACCCACAGGGAGACCTCTAGGGCAGAACATTAACACAGCAGTTACAATCAGTACCTGAGGTTTCTGGAAAAGGGAAGGCCTGAGGAGCAGCGTCAGCTGTTTACCTTCCCTCCCCTCCCATGCTCAGGCTCCTCATTATTCAAACGGGACACTGTAACAGGCCTGCCTCACGGTACCACTGGGAGAATACGACGGAATTTGCAAGATACATTAATAAGCGTGCCTACAAATGGCGAGGTGGTAAAGGTGGCACCAACCCAGATGATATGAATGTAACTCCTGGAACTCTCACGGGGAAGCAGAGAACAGACTGGAGGAGGCTGTCCTGTGACACCACACATGTACCCTGTCACATTCTGAGTAGCTGGGACACTGGCTGGACATCACCTTCAGCTCACACAGGAATTGGCAAGCTTTTTGTGCACCATGTTTTTCAATGCATCCAGATGGAACCATAGCTGCTATCTACATAACTCTTTTTGTTGCTAAGAAACAAAACTCTAATTCTGCTGGGTATAGGGCATCTAAAAAAACCACTATACATACTTTCTAGGCTCTTAAATTTGATGTGACCAAGTAAGAAAGACATAAGGACTTATCTGTGGTGGGACAACTAGCAATGCTCCTCAGAATGACTATGTGTACCTGAAACACCCTCTGCCATCTGCAACCTAACTGGTTCCTGCAGCCACCATGACCACTGTGGCCAGGGCAAGTGTCAGAGGTGGTGTGTGATGGATCAGGAAGCAGAGGCAAGCCTCTTGCTGTCTTTGTGGAGCTGCCACATCATCTCTGAACTGGACCACTCTGGACCCCGGGGTCAGAGTTAAGCATGGGTTCCTAAGACACAGTTTCACATCTGTTATAAACTCTGAGCTCCATCCTTGACACACCCTGTTCTTGCTTCATCCGGGGTTTCTCCTGCTCTGGGGTTACACAGAATCTTACAGCAACACTCCACTATGGGAAAGTACTGTGACACCACCATTTCAGGTCTGCTTCAGATATGTGAAAGCTTATTTTGCACAGGTAACAGATATTCACCCAAGTACCAACTTAATATACATTTTTACACCAACAGCACATTGCTGTGAGTCCTCAAGAACGGTGAGAAGTTCCTACCTGCTCATCTAACCTTAACTACCAGCAACTGAATTCCAATTACTGGCTTCATGTTGGCTCTGAGTAAAGATGAAAACGAACCCTGACATAGCTTTTGACAACTTCTAAAGTACCTTTGGAAACTATGTAAAAGACTGAAGTAATGTAACAACAAAAATTATTCTTCTAGTTCTTTCAAAACCTTGCTCGGGTCTCAACAGGGACAAGTGAACAAAGCCACAACAATGCACAAGGTTAAGTATCAGGAATCCATACCAACTTTGATGTTTTTCTAAGCGCTACAGTCCGTGGTGCAGTCTAGATGGAAGTTGTTCAATGTATTAGCTAGTCGAGTAGGTAACTACCTGACTATGGAGGTGTTCTGTCAGACTAAAATAGAGAGAGGCAAGGAGGGAGTGACAGGAGAGTTGGACACATCCACAAAAGGTGAGTCAGTCCAGGCAGTGCTCAGTGTCAGCTGTTCAACAGCAAGGGTCCCGTGGGTAAAAGGAAGCCCCAAAGCAGCAGGCCGGCACAGGCCGGCACAGGCTGTGGAAGCTCCTCATGGCCCATGCAATGCTATGCTACTCACCGAGGGTACTGTTGCAGCAACTGGGATCATCAACACGGAGACAGCACGGACAAAATTCGTAACATACACTTGAAAGCGAGATGTTCCGATTTTTTGTAGAGCGAAAATCTGAAGTAGAACACACTCACCATGACTCAAGTACACACTGAATCAGGTAAGTTTTTAACCACATGCTGAAGCCCAGGCTTTTAGGTGCTTCTGTCATCCCAGCATTGGTAAACTGAATCAGCAACTCAAGGTCATCCTTGGCTTATGGACTTGTGAGACCTGAGACATGCTAGTGTCCTCTGACAGGGTTCCACTGTACAGCTGACTGGCCTGGAACTCACTCAGTAGACTAGGGCAGCCTCAAACACTGCCTCAGTGGGGATCACAGGTGTGTACCGCCCCACTCTGTTAAAAGCTAGTTTGAGACCAGCCTCTACAAGTACCTTTAAGGGCTGGCACTGTGGTTCAATGGCACAGTACTTGGCCTAGTGTGTACGTCATGGCCTCCACCTCTAGCCCTTGAACACAACAATTTCAATACTAACAAACTTACATAACTAACTGTCTATCTCCAAGGCGGGGAACCACAGTTAAGCTTCTGTGCCTGTGGAGCAGGGGGTCTGTGACTGCAGAGGCAAGCCTGCTGCTGCTGCTGTTGACTTTGGGAGACAGCCTCTCACGATGTAGGGATTCTCTTGGCTCAATTTCCAAGTGATGAGGTTATAGATTGGTGTCCTCACATCTGGCAGTCCTGTATTCCCAGAGATTCCTAATCCTACACAAGTTTTAAGTCTTATGCACCACTTTCCCTCCCTTAAAATGAAATAACGACAGTGTAGTTCTCACAGGGTTGGTCTGAATTAGGTAATTCCTGTCAACTGTTCAGACGCTGGCACGCAGCACTGCTGAGTTAGTGCTCTTCGTCGGCACTGACAGTAATTCATTTCTGCCTCCGTTCACCACTGCCTTCTTCCTACCAAGCATTTCACTGAACACAAACCAGAGCCACACTAAAGAACATTTATACTGCACATGACATCTTTTCCCAACAAAAATTCACTGATGACTTCAGATTTTTTCCTTAAAAACAAACAACGAAAACGTGTTTGTGTGTTTTCCCTATACGTCTGTGTACCACATGTGTGCCTGGTGCCATGGAGTTCAGAAGCACTATGAGTAATGGAAGAGGTGACTGACAAATCCTGTGGTTTTCATGTATGTGTTTCTCTACTTTATCCCAGCAAGGTGCTATGCATGGAGTTGGACAGAAGGTAAACTCTGTTGTGAGCAGCCATGTGGGTGTAGGGAACTGAGCTCAGAACTTGTGCAAGAGCAGCCAGTGTTCACTACCAAGCTATTTCTCTAGCACCATCTTTTCTTTTTTCAGCAGGGATACACATGTCCTTGGGTGCCGCATCCTGCATTGTCACCTGGAAGGGACAGAGCGACCCCAACTCGAGCCACTGACCTCCACTATCAGTAAGTTGACAACACCGACAGAGACGGGCAGAATCCAGGTGGAGTCCACTGCAGTGAGGTCAGGAAACCACAGCGACCCGCCAGCAGCTAACTGTTCCTGAACAGAAATGCCTGCTGGAACAGTTGATAGACAAAACAGGAACCCTCAGAACAGCTGAGAGGTGTCAGGAACATGCACAGAAGAGCAGCCCAACGATCTCAGGGTGCCTCACTCAAACATCTGCATTCTTCTTACTCAAGCTATGTATAGTCAATATTTTTGTTTTGTTTCACTTTCTCAAGTTTTTGTTCTCAACAGAGACTGCGGGTTTACACTTAAGACTCTGAATTCTGTAAGGAAGACAGCAAATGGGAGTTATAAAAACTAGGATTGCTTTTCTTGTTTTGTTTTGTTTTTTGAGACAGGGTTTCTCTGTGTAGCCCTGGCTGTCCTGGAACTCACTCTGTAGACCAGGCTGGCCTCGAACTCAGAAATCCGCCTGCCTCTGCCTCCCAAGTGCTGGGATTAAAGGCGTGAGCCACCACCGCCCGGCTTAGGATTGCTTTTCTATGGGGATGCAACATTAAAGAATTTGAGAGATGATAATTTCTGTAATAGTTACCATCTGAACGTGTGGCCCCCGTGCTAAGGTTCCGGAGGGCAACAGACATGAAGATCCACATTGGAAGCTGGACCCACACCAGCACCGTGGCTTTGAAAGGGTGGCAGTTGTCACGAACATACAGCTCCGAAACAAGTCTCCGCATGTTCTTCAGATAAGTGAGTCTATGATGAGGGTGGAAAGAGAGAATGACACCTGACCACTAGCAGAAGCTTCACCCTACAGTAGTCTGTGGTCATGGCTGAAGGGTTGAATGGGGTTCGAACTGTGGTAACCAGTAGGGGACAGCTATTAACCAGAAGGCACACAGCCTTTTACTGGCACTGTCAGACTACAGCTTTAGTCTCTAATGATCTCTAGCCAGTAAGGTTTTTTTAAAAATAATTTTATTTATTACAGTCTCTAACTGCTTGAGGCCAGGTTCCAGCTACATAGCCAGTTAAGTAAGGCAAACCTGGGCTACCTCATAAACTCCTGTCTCAAAATGAAGCAAAAAAAAAAAAAAAAAAAAGTATTGGTTTCAAGACCAACGAAGTTTAACACAATTTTAACTACAGATACTACACTTAAAAGCATATTTTACTTAATCTGTAGTCCAGGCAAACACCATCACTTGACCTCCCAAAGTAGCCTTTCTGTTCAGCGGGGTTCCTGCGCTGTATACTTTGTCAAAATGGCCTCCAGTTTTTTCAATCAACTTCCCAACAAAGGTTATATTAATCTGTTCACCAAATCAGATTGTTTTGCATTTGACAGAGTCTCACTGTATAGCCCTGACTGGCCTGGCACTCAGTACTTAACAAACTGGCCCTGAATTCAGAGATCCACCTACCTCTACTGCCTAAATGCGGGGATTAAAAGTATGCAGCACCACACCCAGCTCAATTACATTAGTTTCTGAGATGTCGTGGCCTCAGACAGTCCAAAATAACCTTGAATTTGGTAAGTAGCCAAGGATGCCTTGACCCTTCCTATCACCACCTCCAAAGTGCCAGTATTACAGGATTATGTGCCACCACACCTAACTATTGCTTTTGACTGCTAAGTCTTACTTTCTAGGCCAAGGTCTTGAGGGATGATTTTTTTTTTTTTTTGAAGCAGGGAGGGTAGTACTAGCTCAGAGTAGCCTCCAAGTCATAAGCCTCCTGGGGGTGCACCGCTGACCTTCAATCTCATATCATACACATTTAGTACAAGGTAGGCCTTTAATTGGTGTATTGAGTTTAGTCAATTTGTAATATGCTGAACAAGACAGTACACATGTATGTTCTAGGCCCTTCCATTCTAATTGTATCTGTACTTTCTTTCTCTACATACACCTGCACATCCTGTTCCTTGAAACTTTTAGGTCATCCAACAAAATGGGTGAGTGCAGCACAGGCAAAGCACCATAAACATCACCTCACCAAGCCCTCTATAACCCAAGTGGACAACTAACTATTCACCTGTTCCTGGCCCACTGCTGTAGCTCTGATTTCTCTTCATATATATATATAAAAAAAAACCCCAGAACTCCAGGCTTACACTTATATGTAACAAATAAGGCTTTATGTTTCATGCATTAATACATATACTTTCTACTTTCTTCTCTTTCTGAGACAAGGTCTCAGTCTGTAGCCTGGATGGCCTGGAAGTCATTATGTAAAACAGGCTGGGGAAACTCAAGAGATAAACCTGCATCTTCTTTCACAGTACTGAGATGAATGTCTCCCCTCAACTGTTTAGCTACTATGTTTCCCTACATGTCAAGTTTTCTTTGCTGCTCGTTTTAAGGTTTATTATTTTATATGTATAAGTGGTTTGCATAAATGTATTTAATTGCATCACATGAATGCCTGGTGCCCTCAGAGGTCAGAGTGCATATTGGATATTTCTAGGACTGAAGCTACAGACAGCCATGAGCTGCCATGTGAGTGTTGGGAATCAAACCTGGGTCCTGTGAAAGAGCAATAAGTGTTCTTTAGGCAAGATATAGAGACCAATGCTTTTAATAAACAGCACTCAGAAGACAAAAGCAGGCGAATCTCTCAGTTTAAGGCCAGCCTGATCTACAAAGTGAGTTCTAGGATAGCGAGGGCTATACAGAGAAACCCTGTCTCAGATTAAAACAACAGCAAATAAATAAACAAGCACAAGCAAGTGCTCTTAACTGCTGATCCAGCTCTTCAGTGCAATGTCAAGTTTCTATTAGCACCAAATAAAGATGACAAAGCTCATGTTAAATAGAATTTGCCAAGCATGGTGGCACATTACTGTAGCGACACCATCTGGAAGGAAGTGCAAGACCAGCCTGAACTACACAGTCAAACCACCTCACACCAAATACAATTAAAAATAAAGGGGGTGGGGGGTGGGGGGCTGACCCATGAACAACATGGGATGGGACAGGACGGGACCACATGGCAATTGACAACTACTTACTTGCCCAGCTCCCTTGACTTATGTCAAATCTCAGTAAGGTATTTAATTCACTGACTTTATCTTTTCAGTGGCTCCCCCAGAACAGAGGCCAGGTGTGGTATCACAATATGTGTAACCTAAGCACTTGGGAGGTGGGAGTAGGAGGATTAGGAGTTCAAGGTCATTCCTGGGTTCAGTTCCCTAAATGGCATCCTGGTGCACATGAAACCTTGTCATATTAGATATACAGAGGCAGGTACAATGGTTCACATCTGTAATATGAGAGCTGAGAGGCTAGGATGGGAGACCACTCAGCTTCACAGGAGGTGGGATAACCTGTTACTTCCTTTCTTTGATTCCATTCCAATATATAAAACAACCAAGCTGCATAGTGATTAATATGAATAAGCCAAAAGAATACCTAACGTTATATTTACACTATATATACATATAGGTACGTATTTGTGTGTATGTGTGTGTACATATTCACACACACATATATACATATATATGTATGTATGTATATATGAACTTTTTTATCACTACAGATACAAAGCTGCATACCTGGCCACTCTCTTGGACCAACCAAACTGACGTGCACAGACTGCAACTTCTTGGTTAAGGCGCTTGGCGATGTCTTTTATTTCTGGTTGCAAGTTTTCCACCTAACTAAAGAAAAAAGCTGTTTGATGAGCATATAAAGGGTCTTTATTGATAACCACTACTATAGTTAGCTTCAGTGGCTAACTTGGCACATCTAGGAGAAAGGACCTCCAACTAAGAAATTGCACCCATCAGATTATAGCCCACAGGGCATTTTTTGATTGCTAATTGACATGGAAGAACCTAGGGCACTGTGTGCCTCCACCCCAGGCACAAGAGCCTGGGCTGTATAAGAAGCCAGTAAGTAGTGTTCCTCCAAGGCTTCTGCTTCTGTTCCTTCTCTGATCGACTATATAGCCTACAAACCACATAATCCCTTTCTTCCCCGACTCAGAATTTGGTCAGGACAATCAAACAGTTCTATTCTGTTTTCTAGACTATATACATATGTTGTTTACTGATCACATTTGTAATCTGAAACATTTAAGAAAACTCTATTAGATATTAGCTTAATATATCTTTAGCCCCAATTTTAAATTCCTGCTTGTACACCTATCTGCGTGGTCTTGGAAACCAAACTGAGTTAAACCAACTGCAACTTCTTGGTTATGGGTGCCTGACGGTTTTCTATTTCTGGCTGTGCATAACTTCTGAAATCCTGACTCCCAGTATGTAGCAAATCTAACAGCACCTCCTCCTAGGGTTTTGAGTAAATGAAATCTGCATCCCGGATTTTACTGTTCCATCCTTAGATTTCCCAGTATAGAGAAAACAGCATTCCAGAGTGTTAACACCTCACTGTGACTGCATCCTGGCTCAACGCTGATGCTTCGTCCCTTCCTGGCAATCCTCTGTGACTCAAAGTACTTAAACTCTTGATTTATTCTAACTCCCCCGCCTCCCCAAAGCTGCCATGGAAAGGTAATACAATGCCAATTCCACTGAAAAGAGAGTTCCTAAAAGGCCAACTCAAAGTTTCAATTCATCAGATACAGGGTCATAGGTGGTAGGTCCACAGTAAGAATATAAGTCTGGAAACTGCTAACTTAGTAATGCTTTTCTACTAATAAAGAGCAGTACAAATAGTGACAAATAATGCTGCAGACGCACTGTTAAAACGTTTAGGTCAAATGTTACAGATTCCTCCGTGCCATTTCTTCTGTATACTGGTCTCAACTAAAGTTTGGGAAGCACTTGTATTTCGAATAAAGCCTTGGTAGGTCGGGTGAACTGTTAAGTACTCGAGTCACCAACCATCATTTAACATGCAATGCTAACTAAATTATTTAAGCAAAGACGCAGCCTCGATGGTTAACACTAGCAGGTAGGCAGCACGGGGACCAACGCCCCTCACCTTAGCCAGGATGTAGTGCTGATAGGCGGCCAGGGGCAGAGTGACAGCACCGCGCAGGGCAACGGTGCTGAGTATGATGCTGCCCCACCAGGGGAGGCCGGTGGCCTCGTGCGCGCCCAGCAGCACTTCCTCCGCCGTGCGCACGGGCGCCGATGCTGCCAGGGCCTCATACCAGCCGCCCGGAGACGCCGCCGACACCGACGCGGCCGCCCATACCGGAAGGGCTGGGAGCCGCGCGCTGCTCCAGGCAGGCGGTGATCCCGGTGCCCGAAGCCGCAGGGTGGGCAGCGACCGGAGCCACCCGGCACACGAGCGGCATAGCATGGCTACGCAGAGCGGCCGGCAGGTTAGCCTGACGGCCAAGGAGACCACGCGCATCAGGAGGCTGCGCGCATGCGCTAGCTCGAGGCCACGCGGGACCGTTCCAGCCAGAGATAATGTCCAGCGTCGCGCTAGAGATGACGTAAAGCCCCGCCTTTCCCACGCGGCACCCGGCAGCTTGCGGCTCTCAAGACTCCTTTCCTTGCTGGGGTGGAGCTCGGAGGAGGAACCGGAACTGCAGGGGTAGGCGGGGCGAGCAAACCTCCTTGCTGTTGAGTTTCAGTTTCCACCCAAGGAAATTATGGATTGAGTACTTGTCGTGACCTGCCTGCTTCCGCCCAAGGCGCGTAGCGTCTAGCTCCGTTTCTTCCACGCACTGCGGAAACACCTACTTTAAGAGTACGGAGTGTTTCTGGCTCGCTCAGTGTTAGTCTGCGTCCTTTATCCCCTAGGCACAGTTCTACCTTATAATAAGACTTAATTGTCTTTATCTGTTCCGGTTAGCATTGTGTATTCCTTTATGAACAGGAAAACGTAGAATGCCTAGTGGTGGCGCACGCCTTTAATCCCAGCACTCAGGCAGAGAGGCAGGAGGATGTATTGTGTATCTTAGTGTGACTCTGAAAAGAATCACCATCATAATAAGGACCCGGGGAAAAGTAATAGTTTTCATTTTACAAAATGAATTATCAACAGCACAATTTTGCTCCAACGGGAGCACGGTCTTCTGGTTAAATGGAATGCACAGGGCATACAACAACTGTGAGTTTTTCACATTTGTGTTCCTGGCTATAGCAAATAATTTGGACAAGGTGTTTTCTTACAACGAAGTGCCCACTCCTAGAGTAGGCCAAAGTGAACTGAGTTTTTAGAAACTTCTCCCATGTTTGGTAAAGCCAAACTGTGGACACTGTCCCCTACTTCATTGAACACCTAACAAAGCTATCAGATAATGTATTTTCTGTAACTTGGGTAACCTGCCTTCAGCTCCCATACCACAATCCTCTTTTGAAAAACAGTTCACCTATCTCTTGCTAATTTAATTAGGACACCAGTAGTGTTCCCCACCCTATTTCCAGAGAACTGGTAATATCCAGTAGGCCCTTCCGAAATGGCCTTAAGCTAGAGAAGTTACTTAAAAAGCAATTCCAAGTTCCAACTTACCATATGAGAAACTAGAATCAATTCTCAACACTAGGAAAATAAGTAAACTCTAGTACTTAATTATGATAAGCACAAATAATCCTTTCTCTATGAATAGATCTATTATTTATAGATCTTTTGTTCACAACCCTAAACCAAAAATTTCAAGCAGTTATTAAAATCACGTTTTTTTTCTACAGCTACAGGTTTCTGACCACCTCTTCTGATATATGTGAACACCAGTAATCATATAAGTCAAAGTAATGGAAATAAATCAATTAAAAAGTTAAACCCATATATTGTAATGTGAACTAAACCTATTAATACTTATAATGTTGCATATGTGAGCATGTTTACTTTTTGTATTCTTATTAATGTGCATGTGACATGTGTAAATATAACTCTAACCCTGAGGAAGAAACTCATGTGGTATCAGAGAGACCACTTGAAGAAGCCGGGCGGTGGTGTCGCATGCCTTTAATCCCAGCACTTGGGAGGCAGAGGCAGGCAGATTTCTGAGTTCGAGGCCAGCCTGGTCTACAGAGTGAGTTCCAGGACAGCCAGGACTACACAGAGAAAAACCCTGTCTCGAAAAACCACAAAAAAAAAAAAAAAAAAAGCCTATTCTGTCCTTCTGGAAAGAGAATTCTAAGGATTGGACTAAGGTTATCAGGCACAGCTTTAGGACCTCCCCACACCCCCTTGAGATATATGTCCTCACGGTAGCACAGGCTATCCAAGAACTTATTATATAATACAGGCTGACTGTACGCTGGGCAATCCCCATGCACTAGTGCCAGAGGCAAAGGCAGGATAAGAATTCAAGTCTGGGTCTCACCAGAAACACCTGAAAATACAAGGGGAAACTGCTTGCATTAATGCTCTGAAACTTATTTTTTTGCAGTTGTTTTACAGATTTTTAGCATTTTATGTATATCCTACATGTATTTTATGTGAACTGCACCACCTGCCTACCTGGTACCCTTGAAGGTTGGAAGAGAGAATCATTTTCCCTGGAACTGGGATTATAGATGGTTGTCAGCCACCATTTTTGGTCCTTCAGTGTCCTCTGCAGAGGACAAGTGCTCTTTACCCCGACCCAATTCTTTTTTTTTGGTTCTTTTTTTTTTTAATTTTTATTTATTTATTATATGTAAGTACACTGTAGCTGTCTTCAGACACCCCACAAGAGGGCATCAGATATCATTGCAGATGGTTGTTAGCCACCATGTGGTTGCTGGGATTTGAACTCGTGACCTCTGGAAATACAGTCAGTGCTCTTAACCACTGAGCTATCTTACCAGCCCCCGACCCAATTCTTAATCCAATCGAGCTTGCTATCTATGTGAGAAAGCCAGGGGAAGTACCCGTAAATCATGAATAGCATCATCCCCAATGTGTATCACATTCAACACTGAAATGTTTTGAGTTGTACATTATAGTATAAAATGATCACATGTTGTCTTAAGGCAAGCTAACAATCCTAACATGGCAAATTAACTCTTGCGCAACACATTAAAAAAATTACACACACACACACACACACACACACACACTCTCAGTATTTGCCATCAACTTTTTCAATTTTACTTATGTCATACAACTAATTTTTCTTCTTAACTTTTGACCTTTGAAGAGAGCCATCTAAGGGGGCTGGAGAGATGGCTTAGTTAAGATCACTGGGTACTCTTTCAGAGGACTCGGGTTCAGTTCCTAGGGACCTCAAGCCACTCACCCTGTACTACCCTCTTGTCTTGTCTCAGACACTTGCACAGTAAAAATCTCTTTCCATCTGTCTGTCTCTGACACGCACACACACACACACACACACACACACACACACACACTTTTTAAGAGACAGCTAGGTATACTTGAGGCCAGCCTGGGCTACCTACTGAGTTCTAGTCTAATCTGTGGAGGGGGAAAAAAAAAAGAGAGAGGCACAAATCCCTATCAGCCATATCATCACACAAGAAGCAAGGAGAGCTGGAGGATTGCCACAAGTTGAGGTCAGCCTAGGCTACATAGAAAAGTCCAGGAATTCGTAACACAGTCTTAGGCCTCCCCCTCCACACCAATGTAAATAGATGGTTCTCAATGGTTCTTACCATTTTTCTACCTGTGATGGGATGAAGGCAAGCAGCACCGGTGTTCAGTAGAAATCCAGCGCTTAGCAGGCAGAGGCAGAAAGATGCAGTGTTACACACCAACCTCAGCTACAAAGTACTGGGGTCACAAGCACCACAGGCATGTGCCACCACTCCCTATTTATTTTTTTCACTGCTAGGATTAACCATTGTGACATATACTAGACAATCATTTTACTAATCATTCAAATTGTAAACCTCAACATTTTTATTATAGAATATTATTATTAGCACACTACTCAAAATTTTAATATAGGTTATGCTGTCATTTTAGAGGGCTTGTTTTCCAAATAAGACTTCTAACCTGTTAGAGAAAAATTTTAGAAAATATTTGAGGCAAATTATTCTTATGAGAAATTATAAAAAAATAACCCTTGAAGTCAGATTCAGGTTTTTCTTTTTGGGGGGAGGTTGAGACAGGGTCTCTATGTAGCCCTGTTGGGCCTTGAATTTTATAGACGTGGCTGGCCTTGAACTCAGAGACCCTTCCACCAGGCTCAAAGACATGTGCCACCACATCTGGCACACTCTTTTCATTTTTCTTTTTTCACGCAGGGTTTCTCTTTGTAGCCCTGGCTGCCCTAGAAACTACTCTGTGGACCAGATGGGGTTGAGAGATTCACCAGGCTCTGCCCACTGACTGCTGAGATTTAAAGGTGTGCGCCACCACAGCTATATGTTAAGTCACTTCTTAAAAAGAAGCAAACTATGTAGTGTGCAGAGATAATCACATACTTCAAAAAGGGGGTGGGGGGGAAGACCTGCATGGTCTCAAAACTTTTTTATTAAGTAAATAAAATGTTCTATATTACATCTGAAGTATAAAAATATATTTGAAAAATATTCCTAGTACAAATTTCTAGAACCATGGTACGGTCCTGCTCTCTCAGCATAGACAGGGCTCAAATCTGTTTCCATGCTCCACATTTTAAGACCAAGAAAATAGTCACTTTTCCACCCTTCTTCCTTTTTCACTGAGACACTCATTATGTGTGGTGAACACCACTACTCACACGTAGTAGTACACCCTGGGTAGTGTCTGTTCTCCAACTCTATTATTTTAGGCAGAAAATAACTCTAGTTATCTCAGAGAAGTATTGTGGGAGCGAAAAAGACAGAACCATGGCAAAATTCAATACAAAATGTTAACATCAGTTTTGTTGTTTTGTGTAAGTGCTTTTTAATTTTCTTTTCAACTCATGGCTATATTTGTAGGTTATTTTCCTTCTAATTTGGGTGTATTAAGCAAAGGTGGAAAACTAAATGTATATACTTAGCATCCAAAGTGCTGGGTGGGTTTGAAAAACTACCTTATACTCTACTCGGGTCACTACAGACATAAAATCCTATCATATACTATGACAACAATGAATGGTATTATCAACCTTAGGTAAGCTTTAGTTCATGTTTTACAGTGTAGTTTGTCTCTAATTAAAAACCAAATTGATAGTATTTGACATGTGTTATGACAGTATTCTCATGTATAAACTGTTTTATATTTCAATCATGTGAGTTACTTTTCCATAGGAGACAGGGGAGGACACATATTTTTGTATACATTATTGTTTATTGTTTCAAGTGGATGGAATATATAATTCCCACTGAGTAGTTTAGTGTGGCCCTGAATCACATATAAACAGGTTAAATGGAGACTTTAATTTATAATCCGTGTATTCATGGATTGACCATAAATCATTTTAAAAACAAACCCAA